AGTGAGGCAGGCAGCGTTCGAGTGCCTGGTTTCCATCGCGTCGACGTACTACGAGAAGCTCCAGCCTTACATGCAGAACATCTTCACAGTGACTTCCAAGGCTGTCAAGGAGGACAAGGAGCCAGTAGCATTGCAAGCGATCGAGTTTTGGAGCGCGATATGTGACGAGGAGATTGAGATACAGGAGGAGATTACCTCGGGATATAGCGGAGACTCGGAGGTCCCTTACTTCCAGTTTATCAAGAAGGCTCTTACGTACCTGGTGCCGCTGCTGCTGGAAACGATGACCAAGCAAGAGGAAGACCAGGACGTGGACGAGGACGTTTGGAATCTATCCATGGCTGGAGGGACTTGCCTGGGTCTGGTAGCCAGGACGGTGGAAGACGACATCGTCCCGCTGGTGATGCCTTTTATCCAGGACAACATTGTCAAACCCGACTGGAGGTGTAGAGAAGCTGCTACTTATGCCTTTGGCTCCATTCTCGAGGGTCCTTCCCTGGAAAAGCTTGCTCCACTGGTAAATGCGGCCCTCGGGTTCCTGCTCAACGCTCTGAAGGACGAGAACAGCAGCGTCAAGGACACTACGGCCTGGACTCTCGGACGCATTTTTGAGTTTCTCCACGGTCCGGGCGTGGATAAGTCGGTCATCACTACGGAGTCTCTGCCTCACATACTCTCCTGCCTTTTGGAGAGCCTCAAGGATACTCCGAACGTTGCAGAGAGAACTTGTGGCGCGCTCTACTTCTTGGCACAAGGCTACGAAGAAATGCGGGGCCAACCCTCACCACTGTCTCCATTCTACCAGCAGATTGTAGAGGGTCTCATCCACACAGCCGACAGGGAAGATGCCAGTGACTCCCGTCTCCGGTTCTCAGCTTACGAAACTCTCAACGAGGTGGTGAGGTGCTCCACAGAAGAAACTGCCACCATCGTAATGCAGCTGATGCCGATCATCATGCAAAAACTCGACAGCACGTTTCAGATGCAAGTGGTGTCGTCGGATGATCGGGAAAAGCAAGGCGAGGTTCAAGCACTCCTCTGCGGAGTCCTGCAAGTCATCATCCAGAAGCTGAGCGCAGCGGAGTCGACGAAAGTCACGGTGATTCAGTTTGCCGACCAGATTATGGGCCTCTTTTTGAAGGTGTTCGCGTGCCGCAGTGCCACAGTCCACGAAGAAGCTATGCTGGCAATCGGGGCCGTTGCTTATGCTACCGGAAGCCAGTTCGAGAAGTACATGTCCGAGTTCTATCGATACTTGGAGATGGGATTACAGAACTATGAGGAGTATCAAGTGTGTGCTATCACTGTTGGAGTGGTTGGAGATATCTGCCGAGCTTTGGAAGAGAAGGTTCTACCATACTGCGACGGGATCATGACACAGCTCCTGAAAGATCTCTCCAGCAACCAGCTCCACCGCTCCGTGAAGCCGCCAATCTTCTCGTGCTTTGGTGACATTGCTCTCGCGATTGGAGAGCACTTCGAGAAGTACCTCATGTATGCGTTGCCGATGCTCCAAGGCGCTGCGGAAGTCACTGCTCAGCAGGCTCTTCAAGACCCCGAGATGATCGATTACAACAACCAGTTGCGTACAGGAATTTTGGAGGCCTACTCTGGGATTCTACAGGGCTTCAAGGCGACCAAGCCCGATCTGATGCTGCAGTCTGGAACGCACGTCTTGCAGTTCATCGAGACGATTTATCGGGACGAGGACAGGTAACTTTGCTTTCTCTTTTCGTCTTTGAAACTCATGCTTGTTTTTGTTGTGTCACAGAGACGAGGTGGTGAGCAAAGCTGCTGTTGGTGTTCTGGGTGACTTAGCCGATACACTGGGCACTCCAGCAGCGGGGATGTTTCGCCAAATCACATTCTACAAGGATTTCCTGGACATGGTACAAATGATGGACGATGCGCCACTAAAGGAGACTGCAGCCTGGGCTATGGCGACCATCAACAGGATCCTCTCGACATAAGAAATCCATCCACGGTTTTGAGATCAGCACAGCGGTCACACACAGGTTCCGTTTTAGTTGGTTTTTTTTTCTTTCGTCCTTTTTTCTTCTGGACTTTCGTGCATTTGCTCTGTTTTGCCTAGTGGAAGGCAAGGCAGGGGGGAGATATTGCTCGGCCTTCTCGGGGAAGAAAGGCCCTGCAAGAGAAAAAAGAAGAATTTGAGAGCTGCGTTCGCTGGAGCGGAGGCCGCTTGCCAGATCCTAGTTTGGTTGCTGCGAATTTGAGCAGTAGCGATTTTCTAGAGAAGAAGAAACGAGTGAGCGTCTTCCTCGTTTTCTTTGTGTACATGGTAGGCGTTTCGCCTCGCCAGAAAGAAAAGAGTCTTTCCCTCCGCCATGAAAGTTTGGTGGGGGAGTTTCATATTTTAAATTTTGGTTTTCCCGCGTGGCTTGGTTAGGTTTAATGGCGTGGGGGCAAGTCACTGCTACCGTGTATGGGCTCATCCGGGATTCCAAGCACGCCGATGCGATCAAGTGAGTGGCGCCTGGAGATTTCGTGGATTTTGTGATCACGAGCTTCGATTTGATGCAGATTTCTTGAGGAGCAGCTGTGGCTGTTCCCGGAGAATCAAGCCGCGCTGTCGCTGCTGGGGTATTGTCACTATGTTCTTGGGGATTTCCACGCTGCGTCCTCAATGTAGGCGTTGCTGCGTCCGCATTGCGTGATTCTTGGCTCTGATCGTGTGCATTTTGTCATCCAGGTACCAGAAGCTGACGAAAATTTGCCCCAACCAAGAGAACTATCGCTTGTATCACGCTCAATCGCTCTACAAGGTATTTAAAGTTTTTATTTCTTTTTCTAGCGAGAAAAGCGTAATTTTTCTTCTAGGCCGGGATGCTTTGTGAAGCTGGAAAAGCGTGCCTCTCGCTGGAAGGAATGCAGCGTAGAGTTTTGGGATTGCAGGCTTGCATTCGATACGAGGAGGGAGATATTGCTGGTACTTCTTTCTTTAATTTTTTTTATCCCCCTGCATCCTTTTACTTTTCAGGTAGTCGAATGATACTGGAGGAACAATCTCGCGATGATATGGACGCTGCTGTTAATCTCGGATGCTGCCTTTACAAGGTATACTTTGAGGCATTCAAGGCATGCTTTGTAACATTCTCTTGACTTCAGGAAGGAAGCTATCAAGAAGCGTATTCCAAGTTTACTGATGCAATAAACGCATTTGGTTTTCAGGCAAGCACCTTTCCTAAGTTCTCTCTGATAACTTAGTGAGAGATTTCAGCCCGAGCTGGCCTACAACAGAGCTGTTTGTCTTTACCGTCTAAAGCATTACGGTCCAGGTAATGTTATTCTTCGACAATCAATGAACGAATTTTCTTTACGTTAGTTTGCAGCTCTTAGTGTTCTTGCAGAAATTATTGAACATGGAGTGCGACAATATCCCGAATTCAGCATTGGTAGGTATGCTCTTTGTCACCACATTAGTTGCTTTTGCATATATTCTAGACTATACATTTTCTGTTTGTAAAGCCACGTAGAGGGCATTGAGCTATGTAGCGTTGGAAACAGCCCAGCGCTCAAAGAATCTGCATTAGTCGAAGCTTTCAACTTGAAGGTCCGATCAAAATTCTTTTTGACTCACTTGATTCGGTTCTTTGTTTAGGCTGCCATTGACTACGCTAATGGAAATTTGGAGGCCGCAAAGGAAAACCTCACTGACATGCCACCACGTGCAGAAGAAGAGTTAGACTCGGTACATTCTGATACTTTCGCTAAGTTGTTTATTTTTGTTTTTTCTTTCCTCAGGTCACGCTTCACAATCAAGCCCTGATGAATATGGAAGTTGATCCTACTGCAGGCTTCCGTAAACTTAATTTTTTGTTGCAGGTAGATATTTTTATTCTTTTATGATTATTCTGACCACTCGCTATAGAATCCTCCATTTCCTTCAGAGACATTGGCTAATCTACTTCTGCTGTATTGTAAACCTTCCCATGGATTCTACGACCTTGCTGCTGATGTAATGGCAGAGCATGCGGAAGTTATCTTCAAGTATCTATCTCAGGTACGCTTGAAGCACATAAACTTCACAAGCATTAGTCTTTTTACATCTAATATTATGCAGGACCTCTACGACTTTATTAACTGCATCATTTTGACAAAGACGTCACCGGAGGTTGTTCAATTATTGTTAGTTGTGATGTTGTTGAGCTAAGCTTGACTATTGGACAGGATGCATATCAAAAGATGAATGAGCTGGCAAATCGTTATAGTGAAACCATGCGCAGGCTCACCAAACAAATCCAGGATTCTTGTCTTTCTCGCGATCAGGAGGGCCACAAGAAGGCTTTGGCAGAGTATGAAGACTGTCTTGAGGTAAGATGTTCGTAATGTTTTGTCTTTTGCTTTTCGAGCATCGGCTCTTCTATAGTATTATATACCTATCATCATGGCAATTGCAAAGCTTTTCTGGGACAAAGAAAATTACGTGCAAGTAGAGCGTATTTTCCACCAGTCAGCAGACTTGTGTTCGGATCATCCTGTTTGGCGACTGAATGTCGCTCACACTTTCTTTATGCAGGTGAGCTAATCGTATTTGCTATCTATGCTTATTGTGCATCTAACAGGATAATCGCTACAAAGAAGCAATCCATTACTATGAACCGATTGTAAAGAAAGCGGGAGATGACATTCTCAGTGTCACAGCAATTGTGCTCGCGAATCTCTGCGTTTCATACATTATGACCAGCCAGGTACTTTAAACAAATAGTACGACGAAATTGTAATATATTGGTCTTTAGCAGAATGAAGAGGCCGAAGATTTGATGCGAAAGATTGAAAAAGAGGAAGAGAGAGCGCACTACGAGGTTTGCCATTTCTATATAACTTAAGCGGCTACTAGTGGTTTTAATTCTGTGTTCCTTTTCTAGAATCCAGACAAGCAGGAATTGCATTTATGCATTGTAAACCTTGTGATCGGTACCCTCTACTGCGCAAAACAAAACTTCGAGTTCGGTATTAGCCGTATCATCAGAAGTCTGGAGCCTTATGGGAAAAAGCTGGAAGCAGACACGTGGTTTTATGCGAAGCGTTGCTTTCTTGCATTGGTCGATAGCCTTGCGAAACAGATGATCGTGGTAAGCAACAAAAGACGAGGCACGGATTCATGAAATCTAATCTCAAGCTTGCGTGATGCAGTTGAAGGACGCGACATACGCCGACATAGACGACTTTCTTGATGCTGCGGACAGCCAAGGCAAGACTGTCTACACATCCGTGGAGAGTCCCGGCGAGGGCCAGAACTCCAACACGGTCTCCAGAGAAGCCAGGCTGCTCAAGAGGATGTTTCTGAAGATTAGAGAATGAGGTATGTCCGTCCATTCAGCTTGCTAGTTCCTAAGATAACTTCATTACAGGTAGGCATGGCTTGCAAGCCTTGGTGTTGCAAAAACTTCAAGTGGAACCTTTCGTCTCACCGCCACTCCTTCCGAGATCTCGTCCATGCTCAGCTCCTTGCCACTGACCTTCCACTCGAACCCATGGACGAGACGAGCAAGTGTACGAAACCATGGGGCTACGCCAAGAGACAATCCGGAACAGATCCTTCGACCAGATCCAAAAGGCAGCAGCTCAAAGTTCTTGAGGTTGACGATCTCACTAGCCAAAGATGGTTGCCACTGCTTGTGAGGTAGGGTTCGCGGAGAGATTCTTCGTTCGCGGCGGCAGCTCTCCTCTGGCGACAATGTCGCTGCCGCTGAAGCGCCGCGCGGAGGCGCTTGAGGATGATTTAGGCCCTACG